CTTCCTTCCTTCCTTCCTTCCTTCCTCTCTCTCTCTCTTCCTTCCTTCCAAAGATTTATTTATTTGAGTGGGGGGAGGGGAAGAGGGAGAGAATGAATCTCAAGCAGACTCCATGCTGAGCATGGAGACCGACATGGGGCTCGATCTCATGACACTGAGATCATGACCTGAGCTGAAACCAACAGTCGGACGCTCAACTGACTGCACTTCCCAGGAGCCCCTCAGTTTGCTTTCATTTGCTTCTCTGTGTTCTCCTCTCAGCTGGTAGGAGGGTTGGTAATGGAGATCAGCTCAATTCCTTGGCCTCTCCTTGCCCCCCGGGGTCCTTTGAACCCTCTCCTCTTCTGTCCGTAGTTGGGGTCATCTGCGCATCTCCAGCACTCTTGCTCTGCATGGACTAGGGGGTCCCAAAAGGCTCCAGGACTCAAGCCTCTGACCCCAATCAGGGGTTCCCTGCTAACAAAAACTGGACTCTTTCTTCTTCCCCAGCAGCAAGTGAAATGCTCCTTATTCCCTTGTCTCTGGGCCTGGGAGCTCTGTGCTGGGTCTGAAAAGAGCGAGTCGCTCAGATCTGGAAGGCGGCTCTGCGTGCAGGGGCTTGCCTCTTCTCACTGCCTTTACTACCTGTCTAGCCTCCTTCCGTCCCTGCGTTTGCTTCCTGTGTCCTCCAGCATCTTGGAAGGAAATCGGATTCAGCCCTGGGGGCTCACCATGCTTCACCCTAGGATGAATTCCTGCATATTCTCTCTTAAAGGCCTGTGTCCGCATCTCTGTAGGTGGGGACACAGCTCTTGGGTCCAGAGCAGGCTTGTTGGGTGTCCTGAGGCCCTGCTCCACCCAGCCCTCACTGGCACTTCCCTGGAGACACCCTGACTCCTTGCATGAAACATGACCCACTTGCCAGAATGCTCCTAGGTAAGGCCGTGCCGTGTTTCTGTGCCCGTGGGGCCTGTAAAATGGGAAGCGCTCTGTAACAGGACTCCTGTGAAATGAAACCAGGCTTGTTTGTGCTGTTTCTATGGGCTTGTTCAATGCCTTGCCGGCAGCACAGTCCTGAGGGAGCAATTGGATATCAAGAAGGGCTCAGAGATGTCCTGGGGGACGTTCAAACCATTTTAATCATGTGCTAATCTAATTGGAAGCTCATAATATTTTGTATTGCAACGACAGGGACTGTGGGTCTGGAAAACCTCTACCTCGTAGGAAAAGCTCTCCTATCCAAACATGATGCCCCTGACACCTTAAGTCCTATTAAAACAAGATGTGCGTCACGAGACAGGTATAGCAGACATCTCTGATTGCAAATATTCCATCCAGGTTATTTGCAAAAGGCTGATTGATGTCACTCCAGAATTTCAAACATATAGGTATAGATTATGGTGCTTGGGAACTTGGCACAGATCCATTGAGGGAGGGAGAAACCATGCGCTCTGGAAGTTGATACACAGTTTCAGAGCTGTGAGGGCATGGGGCCTGAGGAGCGTAACCGGAGAGGGCCATTAGATGAGGGATAATTCCATTCCACAAGGCTCCGTATTGCAGGACACAGAGGCTTGACCCTTCTCTGTGCAGATTCCCAGCACAGCCAGAGCGCCAGTCCTGGTTAAATGCCCTATTTTTCTGGGTAATTCTTCTGCCTCCCCTTCCAGCTGAAACTCTGGAAGATTTTGGATTAGATTCTTTTTTTCTTTTTTTATGAACTGGTTTATATTAGCAACAAAAATAATTAGGTGATCTTAACCAGTGCATTATACTTGGCTTGGAAAATCAGTTGGCTTGCTATCCCAAAATAGAAATGAAGCAAAGGACAGTTTGGCAGGGCAGTTTTTGGTGCCTGGTAACGTACCCAAGGGACGGCACTCTGAAGATGGGCTCCGGCGACCGGGGTGACCTGGGCTTCATCCAGCACTAACCGAGTCTATCACTCCTGCAGGCGACGTTCAGACTCCAGGGCCTCCCACCAACGTGCATGCTTCGGAAATCAGCAGAACATATGTTGTTCTCAGCTGGGACCCACCTGCTCCCCGTGGCAAGGAGCCGCTGATGTATTTCGTCGAGAAGGTACTCTGCCGTCACGTTTCCTGAGACAGCAGTTTTCTGTGGGATTTCACATTGTGCGACTCCGTGTGTTTTAGGGATGAGCAACCAATTAGGTCAGTCATCGCAGACTTGACCACTGTTAGGTACTGGGGAGCTGGGGGCACTGGCTGAGCCGTGCGCGCGCGGTGAGACCCGGCCATGCACGCCGGCGTCGGGGAACAGTGTCCTGGTCCGGGCTTTGCTGCCTTCGTGCGAACAAGTGGGCACTTCACGTCTCCAGGCCCCGGTGCTGCCCCCCAAATGGGGGATCTCTAAGTTTTCTTCCTGCTGACACATTCTAGCTCGCAAATTTTGAGGACGGTGTGAGATCTGCGCGGGAGCGCAGTTTGCTGTGGCGCGGAGTTTGTAATAAGCTGCGTGGCCACTTGGTGGCGGTCTCGTACAGGAATTCGCTCTAGACGCGAGGCGAACGAATCATTGGTTTGAAGACCCGCTCGGGTCGCAGGGAAAGCAGTAGCTTGCATAGTGCAGCCGCGCGCACACACGCACATGCGTATAAGCCGCGGGGTCACAGACACTGACGTCCCTACCACATGCTAGACCTCTTCTGCTTCAGTCCGTCCTGTTGGGCTAGATGCAGCCTGGGACCCGCTCCTCGGCTTGCCGACCTGCTGGCGGGCTGTGGGCCACGGTGGGAGAACCGTTAGAGCCCTGCCAGTCCCGTGAGTGGCTCTGTGACGCCCCGCTTGTCCTGCGGTGCAGGGGACCGCGCTGGGAAGGGCGCTGGCGTGGGGAAGGTGGCCGGGGGCCGGAGCCTGCCCTGGAGTCACGCACGAGCGCAGTTCAGCAGGGGACGCCGCAGGGCAGACGCGGCATCGAAACGGGCGCGGTGTGTCCAGGCTCCGGGACGCGCCCCGGCCCTCCGGCCCTCCGGCCTTCCGCACTTCCTTACGTGGAGGCTGTCCCTGGAACAAGGCAGGGTGGAGAAGTCTGCGGATGCCGTGCGGTGTTCGCGTCACGGGAGCGCCGCTGGTCTGCAGGCGGGTCTGTCCCAGGAGGAAGAGTATGTCCTGGGTCCTCTCCAGAGGCGTCTGCCACCAGGGCCGGAAGCGCCGAGGCTTAGCAGATACATTTCTAAACGGACGACCACGTCACTGGGGGCTCCTCTGGCTCGGCCACCTGCTGCCTGCAGTGGGAAGGGCCGGGGCCGGGGGCCCGGGGCGTCACGGGCCATGCGCGTGTTGATGGGGGCGAGGAAGGGGAGCCACGGTGCTCAGCGGTCCCAGGAGGCAGGGAGCCACGTGAGAGCCCAGGGGTGGCCGCGCTACGTGTGAGCAAGGAGGTGCCGGCCTGCCGGGCGGCCGCGTCTCCCTGTGTTACAGTCCGCTCCTGGGGGACAGTCCCTCCCCAGCCTGTCCAGGGGGCTCTTTCGGCGCCGTAGTTCCTACCAAGGCCCAGAAGGAACATGAGGATATGCATTCCTCTCTCTCCATTTATGCTAAGCCCAGGGATGAACCGGTAGGGGCTGCAGCTCTGTATCGATGCCGTTGAAATGGGGTGGCCTGTTGCATCCCCTGGAGCGGGGTTGTCCCCACAGACGTCCGCTCGCTGAGTCCTGCCCCGTAGCGCCACAGGTGTGGATCACTAAGTGCTCTGTGTGCACGGTCCACTCCTGGACGGCTCCTGGCCTGTTCTGCTTGAGGTGACATCAGCGGTGCCTCGAGGGTGGTCTTGTGGGGTCCGAGTGTGCCCCGCGTGGGCCCCCGCCGACGGCACCTGGCCCTGCATGCTGTCTTCCAGCCTGCACTTCCTCATGAGCAGCTCCTGACTTAGCTTTGGCTCGCCAGCTTTACTCGGGTGTCTAGAAGCTTCACAGTAAGCCCCAGACAGCTTCCCCCCTGTCCTGTTCGTCCAGCGTGAGTCTCCTTTTCCCTGATCAGCCTCCGCTGCGGGTCCCTCTGGTGGAGAGCACGTGCGGGCCTCCCGCTTCGGACACCTGTGTCAGTGCCAAGAGAGAGACCGCACTTCTGCTAAAATGACAGCTTTAAATGTGGACCTGACTTCTAGAAGCCGGGGCGTTTGAGGTGCTTTCCCAGTCCTGGCAGCCATTAGCAGGGCCAGTGTGGCCCTGCCATTACTTCCTCAGGACCCCCTCAGAAAGGGAAAAATGAAGTGAAACATGGAGTGGAGATTTCAGAATAATTATCAGTGATAAACCAAATGATAAAAATCAAACCTGCAGTAAAGGTGCAGAGAGTTACAGAGAATAAAATGAAAATCACCGCTAATTCCATCATTTGAAATAGTCATGATTAATGTGGGATGCAGATATTTATGGTCTTTTTCTCCATAGTATTTTATGTACTTGATACGTCATAGGTACAGTTTGCATCCTGTGTCACATGCGGCGAGATGGTGTAATGACGCTCACCTGATGGAGGATCTTTGTAGGATGGCCCTAGTGAATTCATTTCCAAATGTACGAACGCAGCATGATGGGTCTTGTGCTACTGCTGGTTATTTAGATTGCTATTTTCTTATTATTACGGTAGTAGCTGCAAAGTAGTGCAAGTTTTATTCTATTTAGTTATTATTTAAAAATATTTATTCACTTCAGAGGGAGGGGAGCGGGGGCAAGAGCAGAGGCAGAGGGAGAGAGAGAGACTCTCAAGCCGACTCCGCACTGCGCGCGGAGCCTGACGCGGGGCTCGATCTCACGACCCTGAGATCACAACCTGAGCTGACCTCAAGAGTCGGATGCTTAACCCACTGAGCTACCCAGGTGCCCCTAAAATAGTGAACATTTTAAATTAAAATGTGACCGGCTGAGTTATGATGGAATTTTATGAACACCCTAAATTATCTTGAATCCTTTATAGTTCATTTCACTTTACTAAAACTACAACCCTATGTATTAATTCCCCTAAGTTTTTTTTTTACAGTTTATTTGCTTTCACGTAAAATTTTTTACTGGTAAGCGTTTCCAACTTTGGGTAATTTCTTGCCTGCTTTTCCAAACTGCCTGCCTTTTTCATAAAATTCAGAAAAGATCTTTTGATGGTGCAGGATGTGCTTTACCGCCTGGACATCCCTGAAGATTAATTTGGCTAGAGCAGAACCTTTCCTTCAACACGCCTTTGGGGACTTCTCGGCTTCCTCATGTAAATCCTGTGTCTCTTTGCAGTCCGTGGTTGGGAGTGGGACCTGGCAGCGGGTCAACGCCCAGACGGCTGTGAGGTCCCCTCGGTACGCCGTCTTTGACCTTGCTGAGGGGAAGCAATACGTGTTTCGGGTTTTGTCAGCCAATAAGCATGGCCTGAGCGACCCGTCGGAGATCACTGCCCCCATCCAGGCTCAGGATATGATTGGTGAGTACAGCCTTGTTGGTGAGTGACCGTGGTTTGGGACAGGCCCCGAGTAAGGGACATCAGATACCCTTCCGTTGTGCTGAAAAAGACAACCACTGTTGTATATGAGTCAAAATTACAGCTGCCTTAAAATCTCAGTTGACACGAGATGGTGATCTCTCTGCCGTGCTTTGGTTGGGACTCAGCATTTCTCCAAAGTTCCCTTATTTTTATGAAACTAATAAATGGGTTAGAAATATTTTTAGGCATTGGTTACTTTTTGAAAAACCTTGAACACACTGGAGTTTCTTGCCTGTGTGGCTTGAAGTTCCTGCTCCGAAGATGCCATACAGGATTACAGAAATTCTGAATCGTCCTGCGGAGAAAATCCAGGGTCAAATCATGATTGGATTTTAAATCCCCTTATAGATTCCAGCCAATCCGAAAGAAGGTGTCTTATTTTCTTAAAATTGTTACTACCCTGTTAGCCAAAGCATGTGTGTCATGAGGAGATGCCTTTTCATAGTTCTGGGGGGTGGGTATAGGAGACAGCGTGATTATAATTCCTCTCTTTGTGAGTCAGGTAGGACAGAGGACGGTGCAGCAGCTCCTGGCCCCCCCTGGGTGGCAGCCCCCCCGCCCACTTCCCCTGCTCCTCCCTCCTCATCCAGATTTCAGGGAGCCATTCCCTGTGGACAAAGGGCTTGAGGGTCTCTGGTGCAGCTTCCGGACCTCGGACTCCGTTCATGGTTCCTCGCTCTGTTCCTCTGCACAGTTGTCCCCTCTGCCCCGGGCCGGGTGCTGGCGTCCCGGAACACGAAGACATCGGTCGTGGTGCAGTGGGACAGGCCAAAGCACGAGGAGGACCTGCTCGGCTACTACGTGGACTGCTGCGTGGCGGGGTCCAACATGTGGGAGCCGTGCAATCACAAGCCCATCGGCTACAACAGGTGCGGGGGCCCTGGACTCGCTGCGTGGGAAGGACACACAGCCAGCTGGGAGCCGCATGGCACTCAGAGCAGCGTGCGCCCCGGCAGATGCACCTGTGAGGCTCGTACACGAGGGTCTGTTTTCTTCCTTGCCCACGAGGGGTCAGGACTCGGAAGCTGACAAGCTCGTTCCGGGCACGGGGCTGAAATCATTAGTGTGTTGATGAGAGAACTCTAGAACCTTGGCCCTTCTGGAGTCATTAGCAGCTAAGGCTTACCTTCCAACAGGAAAGTCAAAACCGCAGCTGCGACTCGAGAGCCATTTTATTTTTCCATATTGAGTTTTTGAACTTTTAAAATGGCTTTGTTCGCATAACTGACAGTCCTCTGCTCTAGCCACTGATTGAAGACAAAGCCAGCGGCCGTCACCTCTCGTGTGCGGGGCAGGGGTGGGGGACGTCGGCTCGTCTTGGGTGGAGAGCAATATCTTTGCTCCTGGCATTGATTTAACCCCGCTCCTGCCGAGTGTGTGGAGTGTGCGGAGTGTCTGACTTTAGTAGGCCCTCTCCAGGGTATGCTTCTCGGATAAATAGAGGCAGCAGTCAGATTCTCCACTGTGGATGCATTATCACGGATGGCTCAGCCATCTTTCCCTTTTCAATCTACTTTTTAAGAAAAATAACTTGGGAAAAGCCGTGGCTAGGAAGGAAGAGATGTCGCTGAGAGGAGTATCAGTTAGATGTTGTTTCAAGTCCATGGGCAGCAAACATAGAAAGAGATCTCAGGACAAAAAACTTAAAATAGCATTCTCGAGCCAGAGTTTTATAAATGGCCACTAAACGTTTGTGGGCTCTGAGAGGTGAGTGGGACCTGCTCACATGGACGGGGTGCTGGCCTGTGCTGAGCTCCTCCCACACAGGATCCCACTTGATGCTTGTAGTGGTGCTGGGAGGTGGGGATTGTGGTCCCATTTTATAGCTGGGACAACTGACTCACAGAGCCAGTGACCCGTACTGGGGATCCACAGATGTTTGCTTTCTGCACCCCCCGACCTATGCCCCTCCCGCCCCTGGTGTAACCAGGCATCATGACCTTCCTTCCTGACGCTGCATGTTGATTTGCATCTGTTAACTAAAAATGAAGCATAGAGTGGAGATATAGTATGCATATATAAAGAATTCAGACAAGTGAAGTTCCTTCTAGTCCCAGTGGAAAAAAAATTTGGAGCGTTCCCGATAATTTTACTTCTGCCGGAGGAGGGAGGGGAAAGGCTGAGGTGCATGGTTGCACCCCTGACTGGTGTTTTGCTCAGGTTTGTGGTGCACGGCCTGACGACCGGCGAGCAGTACGTGTTCCGGGTGAAGGCTGTCAATGCTGTCGGCACGAGTGAGAACTCACAGGAGTCCGACGTCATCAAGGTCCAGGCTGCCCTCAGTGAGTAACCCAAGGGCCATCATAAGCTCTGTGGGCATAAACGTTCTTGGTGCCGAGAATATGCAGTCTTGGGGAGGCCTCTCATCCGCTGGCCATGTGTCTTGGAAACACGGGGGTGAGGAAGGAGTGGTGAAATGCCAGAAGGGTGCGCACCGGGGACACACGGCTTCACTGCACGTCACACGTCCCCGCGTGTGTGCACCCGCATCGATGTGCGTGCTTTTGGGATGAACGTCTCTTTCAAATTTAATGGTAATCTAGAAAAACATCAGTGGCCTTTCCAGTTAGTCTTAGTTCAAGGGGTTTTAATCATCTCAGAGAATTCCAAACGTTGATGTGAACTTTGTGGTTTGTTCATCAATGGTCATCATTAAAAATGATTTTAATCAAACCAAACAGTTTGGGACCTAATTTCAGAGGTGGGCCCTGGGAACATGAGTGTTGTGATTGTCGCCCTGGTGATTTCATACAAGATGGGCCACACGGCAAACACGTGCCCTGGGACATTTGGAGCATGAATGTCACATGTTACTCATTTTGAGTCATACTGATATTCTTTCATTTCTGAGAGAAATGTTTTGCTCTTTAATTATTTTTGTCTCCAATTAAATTTTAAATGCATTTTCAGAGGTTCAGCTTTCTCTCCTAACAACATATAAAGTTGTGTTATGGAACATCCAAGGAGTGTCCAATCCAATACTGCTTAGGTGGTCAATATAGTGCAAAATCATTCTTTTATTTGAAGGTCATTATTCTAATCTGTCCGTTTTCCCCGGGAGGGACTTCCAAACATTACCATTCCTCCTTAATACAAAGCAATCATCTACAGTTTTATTCTGTGATGGGAACAGGTCTTCCCCCAGTCACCTGTTTCTTGGGTAACAGAGGATGCCCGGATGCAGGTCACCTGGAGCCGGGGCTGGGGCTGGGGAAGCAGAGGCACACCCTCCCTCAGCCCCTTAGAGAAGGTGGTCCAATTCCAAATGAACTCATGTGAATTCGTACTCACTTGAATTGATTTGATGTGGGAAATTAAGACTGGCTGGGTCAGTGATGTGCGGCATCTCTGGTCATGGGGGCATGGCTGTTATTTTTCATGGGTATAATGAGAAAGTTCCTCCTCAAGGTTTTCCTTAGAGGAGAGGGAAGAATCTCTTGTTTCAACCACCCAGGCCAGATTTAAATAATTTATTGCCCCTGTGTTATTGAAATATTGGAAGATGTATGTGTGTATGTATTATTTATTGGAGGATGTGTTTAGGAACTGCAATAAATAGAAATGACAGAGAGTTACTCTCTTTAAAGGAAGAGATGAAAACACACAAGGATGGTTCGGGGTGAAGGCCCCTCTGCAGGGCAGGAGTGGTCCCCAGGAGTTTGGGCGTGCTGGGTGGAGACAGGGGTGAACTTCCTGCTCTGTGTCCTTGCAGCTGTCCCTTCACATCCTTATGGGGTCACACTTCTGAACTGTGATGGCCATTCCATGACCCTTGGCTGGAAGGTACCTAAATTCAGCGGGGGAGCACCCATCCTTGGCTATTACATAGACAAGCGCGAGGCTCACCATAAGAACTGGCACGAGGTCAACTCTTCACCCATCAAAGAGAGGATCTTAACGGTTGGTTCTTAAGGGTCCAATTACTTCTCCTGGGTGGTTTCCCATACTGGGCAGAGTCCTTCATTCAGTGACTCAGAGTTCAAGGCGTTAGATAATGTGACACAGAAACAAAAGTGGGTTGAGAAAACTTCACAGCCTCGTGGGAGGAGCTCTAGAATGGGATCCGAGGAAGCATTTTCTTCTGAGACGTGAGGAGAGGTGGAGAGGCAAGGAAGCGGGTGGGGTGGGGGTTAAGTGTCCCTGCTGGGGGCAGCCCCAGCCCCCGCCCATGCCCATGTGGTTCTGTGGGGCTGGTGCATCTGCGCTTAGCTGGTGTTCAGTCCGAGTGCCCTTGTCTGTGGCTTGTTAATCACGGTTCTGCTAAGAAAGGCTTGTGTGTCCAGCCTCTGGGTGAGTCACTTGCCCAAACACATGTTCTGCCAGGCAGAGAGAGGAGAAAGAACATAGATTTGGAGTAAGGAAGATCTGGAATCCAATCCAACCATGAGCTTTCTCTCCCACCTCGCAGAGTCTTCCACTGCTCGTTTGTGCGGTTTAGGTCACGGGCATGGGTGCGTGTGTGTGCACGTGGGAATGTGTGTGCGTGTGTGTGCATATGGGAATGTGTGTGTGTGTGCATGTGTGTGCATGTGTGTGCGGGTGCACTGTGTGCATGTGTGTGGGTGCACTGTGTGTGCATGTGTGAGTGTGTGCATGTGTGTGCTCGCGCGTGTGTGTGCATGTGTGTGCGGGTGCACTGTGTGTGCGCATGTGTGAGTGTGCATGTGGGAATGTGTGTGCGTGTGTGTGCAGGTACACTGTGCGCATGTGTGCATGTGTGAGTGTGTGTGTATGTAGGTACGTGCATGTGTGTGTGTGCATGTGTGTGCACACACGTGTGTCACATTACTGATATCTGTGCATGGTCAGCCCCCAACACTGTGCCGAGCTGTTCTGGACGACGGCCCTTACTCCTGAGCAGAGCACCTTCTTATTTTTAGAATACCGCTACTGCCGTGAGGTGAACTCTGTTTTGCAGGGAATGAAACCATTGAACTTCAAACACACTTGCTTTGGAGGCTCTGTATTATTCCAGGAGGCAATATTATCTAGATACAGCGAGATGGGGCTGAGGTCACGACCCAAGGGCCTCCAGCCCGTGTGCTGGGGGACGGTGACGGGTTGTTGGGCATCACGTAGTGAGGCTGGTCTGGCAGAGAGGCTTCGTGTCCCTGGCTGGTGGCAGCCAAGGTGCTGGCATATGCAGAGGGGATGTGGGCTGGAGGGCAGGGCCCCCACCCCTGCTATCCCACTCGCCCTCTGTGGCTTTTTCTCCATGAGGACGAGCTGTTAAGGGCGGTCATCATGCTGCCCCATAGGCACGGTGACGGGAGGAATGGGAATGTGGGTAGGTTCCCTAGAGCGACCATAACACAGCACCGGCATTCACAGCCCTCCCTGACCGCACTGTCCAGTTTACCGGCACAGCCCCACCTGCCCTGTTCATTCTGGGAGTCAGTCGTGAATCCTCCAACGGACGGACTGTAATGAAGCTCTTATTTCCTGTGTTAATTTAAATACAATCCACGCAGGTGGAGGGCTTGACGGAAGGCTCACTCTATGAGTTCAAAATCGCTGCCGTCAACCTGGCCGGGATCGGGCAGCCGTCAGACCCCAGCGAACTCTTCAAGTGTGAGGCCTGGACCATGCCTGAGCCTGGTAAGCCTCCTGGACTGGAGCAGCCCTCCGTGGCATGAGCCTGCTGTCCTCAAGGCCGCGGTCACCAACCCCAGAACTAGCGGGCATTCTGTCTGTGCATGCTAGGGTGTCACCACCCTGTGCCAGGCACGGGGTGTAGCTGGGGGTGAGGTGGCCCCAGTCCCTGGTGGTGGGGTGCGGACAGAGGCCGAGCAGGTGACGAGGGTGGGGTGATCAGCGGGGATGCGTGAGGGTAGAGGGAAGGCGGCCCCGGGCAGGAGGGGCCAGTGCTGATGACACAGGGTGTGACACTGGGATCCCCAGTGTGTGAGGTCTGGTTCTCCTCCCAGACCCTGTGGGGGCCTGGGGGCCTCTAGGTCAAAAATGTGGGATTACTGCCAATCTGCATGTATTAGGACTTTACATTTTAAAGCTGTTTTCATAAATTCTCAAAACCCGGGCCTTCATTTATTTGCATTCAGTGTGTTAGCAACCTAAATGTAATGGGTAAAATGCTCCTGTTTTGAGCAAAACAAAACAATGCCCAAACAACAGACCTAAAGTTGAAGCTATTTTGTGGCCAGATTATAGTGTATTTTTCCTCCTTTTCTTTTATTGAGTGGTCCTTGTTTTAAGGAAACTAATATTTGCCCCTTAGAAAAGCCAGTAGAAGGAAAGCTATTCCAATTTCCAGAGCCTTTTGGGGGCTTCACACGAAAGGGCTTAGCCACCCTCTAAGGATGTGGCATGACTTGGTTCAGATGCAGCCCCTGCACCTTGGCCTGAGTGCTGATGCGGACTCATGAATGATTCCAGGGTGCCTGCAGTCCCCAGATCCCTCATGGTCAGGCTGCAGGAGCAGCCGGCCACACTGTGCCCCCTCCCCGCTCCACGTTCAGCCCGCTCCTCCGGGTGTGCGTGGAGAAAGCCTGATTTAACACGCAGTCATGGTGTCTGTGTGTGTCCCCGCGGCGGTGGACGCCACATGCTGGTGTGAGCATGCACGGGCACAGACTGCGTTCGACTTTTCAGGTCCTGCCTATGATCTGACGTTCTGTGAGGTCAGAGACTCGTCCCTGGTCATGCTGTGGAAAGCCCCCGTGTATTCTGGCAGTGGCCCCATTACGGGGTATTTTGTGGACTATAAGGAAGAAGATTCTGGAGAATGGAGCACCGTGAATGAGGCAGCAACCGCCAACCGTTATTTAAAGGTGACGGTGTTCCTTCCTGTGTGCCCTGCCTTCCCGGGATGGGGTCTCTGATTGCTACCACAGACAGGCTCGACGCCGCCCGGCCAACCGCTCAGGCAGCACATACGGTCCCGTGCCACTGTGGACGGTCTCCGCGGGGGCGGCGGCCACTGTGTGTCTGCGGCCGGCATGCGTTTAACCCGTTCCGTTCGTGATTGTCGTAGAAGTCACGCGCATGGACACACGTACGCACGCAGCTGGGATACGTCTGGCGGTCCCGTCCTCCAAGTGTTTCTTTTTGTAGCACCTACAGTTTACCCATCACTGGGGTTGGCTGTGACACCCATCCTTGGGTGGGTAGGCCACCTGCCCCGGCTCCTTGCCCAGCACTTTCCCTGCTTGGTTGTGGGCTCTGTGGTGTGGTATAGATGGTGGAGGCTGACTGGAAGGCCACACCTGAGTCGAGCACATGGTTGCTGCCTCTGGGCAACAATCCGACAATCCCAAACCAGATCAGCTTCTTCCAAATGAACTAATCAGCTTCTAAGGATCTAGCCAAATCAATGAGTAAGACATTAGCTGAAGTATATTTTACGTACCAGCGCAGGTTACGGTACATATGAGCTACGCATGTGCAAGGAGAGAACCATTTAATTTTAATGTGTCCAGATGATGGGAAATCTTGCACAGTTACAAATCACATTTAAAATAATATTTCGTCCTGTAGAATTATGTTGACTATGGACGCCAGGTTGCAACCTGGATATATGCCTTGAATTCTGCTTTGAAATGTGCAAAGAAAAAAGGAAGACTCTCTGAAAACTGGAGAGAGTCTGTTTCTTCTTGCAAAGTCAGACTGAATGATTGTGAGTCTGTCTTACCTCCTGCTTTTCTAGCTCACTGTGCATAGCTCTTACAGCTGGAAAAGTAAGTTCCTTTTTTAAAAAAAGCATGTTCATAGTAAAACGTGAAAAGTAAAAAGTCCTTTTCACTTATTGATTCCCATGTGACATTTTCTCTGTCTTTCTAAGGTGTGTGACCTGCACCAGGGCAAAACCTATGTGTTCAGGGTCCGGGCCGTGAACGCCAGTGGGGTGGGAAGGCCGTCGGACATGTCTGAACCAGTGCTTGTGGAGGCCCGGCCAGGTGAGAGGTGCTGCTTGGCTGCTCGGGACGGCGGGAGGCTGTGAGTGGCTGGGGTGCAGGAGGTGGGCGTGCGTGTTGTGTGTGTGTGAGTGCAGGGAGGGTGGGCTCCTGCCGTGTGGTTGACAGTGTCGAGCAGCAAACGGAAGAGGCCCCTCCAGCCCAGCATGGCCCCGGCACCCCTGGATCGGAGTGGGGCCCCTGAGGCGCACAGTCGGTGGGGATCTGTATTTGGACCAGTAAAGCCGCATTGGGGATGACAATGTTACTGCTGAATTTTGACCGGCAGTCAGAAACCCGTGGGTAGTGCTCTTGGTGGCAAGTGGCTCCTCTCTCTGGGGACTGGTTTCATGTCCTCTGCCACCTGGCACTCTGTGCCACTCCGTATTCACGGCAACTGATAGCATCTTGCCTGCCCAGGCTAGTGTGGCCCCCCAGTCCCTACCCCCTCGGGGCAGATTCTGACAGGCCTGTGTGGGACCGGGTGTCCACCTGGTCAGAAGGATTGAGCAGGTCCCTTCCCACCCCCCATGGAAGACGAGCAGAGGGAGGAGCCCGCGTACAGTGCTATCGGGGGGTGCCCATGGCCGCCCGGGGCCCTCGCAGTGGCGAGGGGTCAGATCTCAGGGAAGAAGGGTCTTTATGACCAACGCGTTTGCTGCAGTGGGATTGGATGTGGAGGAGGGAATGGACAGAGAGGTACAGCTTAAAACGCTGTCCGCTGTGCCCTCTACCTGCTCCTGGACGGATTGCCCTCCTGCAGGTCCACCTCAGCATCCTGGGTGACCTGGAGGGGAAGCTGATGATTTGGTGTGAACCAAGCCGCCACCTCCAGACACAGAGTCTGCGGGCAGAGGGCACGGTGCTCCTGAGACCCCGCCTTGTCTCCTTGCTCTGCAGGCACCAAGGAGATCAGTGCTGGTGTGGACGAGGAAGGCAACATCTACCTGAGCTTTGACTGTCAGGAAATGACTGACGCGTCCCAGTTCACATGGTGCAAAGCCTACGAGGAGGTTGCAGATGACCAGAAGTTCCGGGTCGAGACGGTGGGAGACCAGTAAGTCCCCTTGGGGGCCAGCCCCTGGGACCACCGGGGACCCTGGCAGACACAGCCAACGTGTCCCACGGTTCTTCCCTTTTAGCTCGAAGCTGTACTTTAAAAACCCGGACAAAGGGGATCTAGGAACTTACTCAGTGTCCGTGAGTGACACGGACGGGGTGTCCTCCAGTTTCACCTTGGACGAAGAAGGTAAAGTCTACATGACGGAGGCTCGCCTGCTTGAGTGTTCGGCCTGAAAGATTGACACTAACCTAGGAAAGACTTGCTTGCCTAGAAAACGGGCGTGTGTCTGTGGGAGGCTGGGGTGCTGAGTGTTCATAGAAGCAAACGTTCCCTTAGAAATTAAACAAACTCTCTAGAGTTCGTACTCTGTCCAGCTCCTAAATCACCGGTCCAGGACTTGGGGCTTCTGGAGTTCCCCCTTGTACTTTTCAAGTTGGGTTTTAGCTACATTTCAGTAGGTTGGCAAGCAGGGAGTAGAGTAGGGCCACGAGATTAAAGCGAGACACACAGATGGGAGACTCCCCCTTTCCTTCCAGCACTGGATAGTCAGCATGGCAAAAGAAAAAAATATATATTTTCTGTATGTGAAATAAGATTCAACTGGCATAGTCAAAATCTCTTGCTCTCTTACAAATAGGAGACAGCAGAAAGAAAAGTCTGTTCACAGCTGGGGAGCCCAGGAACAGGCAGGTGTGTCCTCTGCGGGCTCATGCACCTGAGTCCTTGTCAAATGGCAGGTCTCATGAGGCAGATTCTTGTGCTGCTGGGGATTATAGTTATTTGTGTCCAGTGCTTGTGGTGGACCTGGCCCACAGTCAGGGTCAGTCTCACGGAGATGTGCAGTGAGCTATGTCGTGCTGGACAGCATGGTCAGATGTCCAGGGTTCTCTGGGTCTCTAGAGCTGTTGAGAGTCCGCTGTTAAAATGTGGGGTCTTGTGAGAGGCCTGGTGCCTGGTGAGCAGACCCCGAAGTTCCCTACTGTCATGTTGGCTGGCAGCAGGCCGAGGGTGTGATCCCGAGGACGCCTGATTCGGATGGTTGTCCAGCATGGGCTGGGAGGAGAGGCATGGACCCATGTTGGGAAGCTCCGCGCCAATGCCTTGGGCCCCTGCAGGGCTGGAGCAGATCCTGGGTAAACCTGGGGAAGCTCGTGCAGATTTAACAAGAAATAGCAGGAGGATGGCCAAGTGGTCTGTGTGGATGCTGCTATCCAGGGTCCTCAGGATGCTCTTGCCCAGGGATAGGGGCCGGAGCAGATCAGGAATCTGCTCCGAATGCTTTTTGAGCTGCCTTTTCTGACCCTAACTCAGCGGTCTTCAGTTTTTAACTCAAAACATTCTTAAATAATCCTGAATAGTGTTCTACTTCTCTGCACTAGTTTTAAGTTTGTAGATGACATTTTCACTTTAATTTTAAATAGTTGCAAAGGATGAAAACTTCCAGCATGTTTTATAACATATGTGGACTTTAAGAAATCTTTTAGATAAAACCTTGGAACTGCAGATTTAGCTCATTTGATTTATGGAAATTCCTACCATTAGACCTAATGGGGAAGTCAAGCCAGTCACCCAGCGAGGAAAAGTCTGACTTCCTTTTTCGGTTCAAGTGAGCGTGTTCATACATATCTTAGTGACCACGATCTCTTTTCTAAGTTCTAGTTAAGAAGGAAGGAAGGATGGAAGAAATGGCTTAAAACCTTCAGTTTTTCTTATCTTGCTCTTGGGACTCCTTCAGGAATGATGCATTTATATTTATATTTTTTATATTTATATTTATATTTATATTTTAAACTCATGGCAGTATGCCTCACAGTGAAATCTTGAGTGGGCGAAGCATTTTGAAGGACATCTTGCAAGGGGAAGGAAAATCACAGACCACCCACACACTCTCAGCACCAGATTGAAATTAGGAAGGAGTTCGTATGGAATTCGAGGCTCTGGGAATGGGTGTCTTTAAAGCTCCCCTGTGCAAAGCCTGCCCCCACCCCCAGCCCCACTGTCCCCAAGGCTCTGCCCTCATGTGCCGCACCACCCTCCCCTTCAAGACAGGGTTATTATATGGTGAGGATCTCAGCTGAAGAGAGTATTCAAAGGTGGTGTAACTCCTATTTGCATTTTAACTTCTAGTTCATGTTTCTTACTCAAGCACAGATTAAATCTTGGTGGTGTCAGATCCCTGCTAGGGGTTAGCCTTGTAATTGTTTACAGACTTCTGAATGTATGGGTCAAAAATCAATGCACGTATTTTTCTTAATTTTAGAGCTTGAACGTTTGATGGCACTGAGCAACGAAATCAAGAATCCCAGTAAGTAAGCGTGGGACTCTGCCTGTTTGCAGGCAGACAGCAAGCCATCGGGGGAGGGCCCTGCTCATTAAGGCAGGAAGCTCACCAAAGAGCACTTTGGGCATGGACCGTTTCATTTCACGCATCCAGCTTCCAGGCTTGTCACCTGTTCATTGGAAACAAATATGAGTTGATAATGCAACTTGTAGAAATTTTTATTGCATAGAGAGAGTTTTGAATTTGGGGTTTAGCGTAGCTGATCCTAATCCAAGCAAGTCAGTCAGGTGGAGTCTTCGGTTACTGAGTTACACTGAATACAGAGGGAGCACATGGGGGCATGCCTCGGGGTCCACGGAAGAGCCAGGTGTGTGCGTACACGGCTCACGCGGCACGGGGCCTTACCTGCAACAACAGGCTAACCTAGGGTTTTAGTTTTATTTTTTGGTTTTCATAATCCAATTCAACACTCCAGGGTTTCACATCCTCAAAAATTTAATAACCAGGATTGATATTTTCCTCCAATATGCAGCTATCCTGTCTCACAACAATTCATGCATTATTGACTTTCGATTTCTTTTCTTCCTGTAGCGATTCCTCTGAAATCAGAATTAGCTTATGAGATTTTTGATAAGGGCCAGGTTCGCTTCTGGCTCCAGGCTGAGCACTTATCACCAGATGCGAGCTACCGATTCATTATTAATGACAGAGAAGTCTCTGACAGTGAGGTGAGTTCATGTGTGAGTGATCTTTGGCTTCAGAGAGGCCGGGTTTTACTTTGGTAGGTCAGCGACTTCGGGTCCATGTTTTGTGTGTGTTTTCTTTTGAACTGCAGAAATTGGGGTGTAGCAGGTTGGCGAGATGAACGCGTGACGGTTGATTCTTGCGATATTCAGAGACTGGTCTGGGTTAGATGAGAGATCAGGAGTCCTTGAAATCCAAGCCTGCCAGAATTGAACAATGGTCAGCTTTGTTTTAGAGATATTGAGCCTGGTGTTATGAAAAGGTTCAGGTGACATGGGGGGCATGGAATTATCCTTGATGGACAGGCCTATTTATTCTTGACCTTGGTTTTGAAGGCATGCATTTTTACCCCATTGTCTGTGGGTCCCCCTCCCCCCCTCACCGAGAGCTTCCCATGGAAGGCATCCATGGGGAAATCTGTTTCTACTCCTTCCCTAACCTTTTAGGCTGTTCTGTTTAGGCAAAGCATAACAGAACTGCCAACAGAGTATTGAATGCTAGAATACAAATATTTTTGCCCTTGTTCTGCTTTTAATTGTATTCAATGAATCCTACAATTCTCATAAATATTCCTTTTTGGCTGTGGAAGAACATTGAGTATGTTTCAATGTATTTTTTCTTGTCTAATAATTCTAGCACCGCTGCTGTAATTTCCAGCTGAAGGAAAACCTGCTCCATGGGCCCTTTCTTTACTGTTGAGTGGAGAGCGAGGGGTCTTTACCTCCTCTGCTCTTTTCCCCTGGTACTCAGTGTGTGGTGTCATCAGTCTGTTCAGGGTCCTACTGACTCTGGACGCCTCATCCGTGTGCACTGCACACATGTTCATGGAATGGTTGACATGTAGGAATCACTGAGGCCATGCAGGTGCCCACTTACTGTGTCACTGAGCTAGGCCCCTCATCCCTAGTCCAGACTTTGTTCCCATGGGTGTTTGTTAAGGCTTACCTGGTTAGATGAGCAGGTGTCAGGCAGAAATCCAGAATGGACAAAGATCATGCAGTTTTTCTTACCCTTGAGAGACAGTGACATACTCTGAGAGGCGTGCAGGTGGGAGGAGTGGCTGATGAACGGACAGCAGGCTTTTCCTCCTGGCTGCAAAAAATCCAGCATTATACATTCTGTCCTGGGAGAGTGTACTGCACGGTCAAGGACTTGGAGAAATTCTCTTCGAGCAGAGACCGTGCTATGAGATGAAAAGGAATTTCGTGTAATTGCACTTTATTTGTAGAACATCTTTTGATTAACATTTCCTACCTGCTGCATAGAGCTTGCTTTAAAAACTGATGTCTTTGCTCTGTGGCTAATCTTTTTGGGATAGGGCTGCACTATTTCACTTGTTTAATTAGCAATCCACAGGTGACTTTTCTGGGGGGAGATTGATTTTTTTTGTGTGAGTCACATAAAAGCCTGTATTTATGGCACCCATAAAATCATTGAACTTCATCTTGCTGCATAATGGCAATCGCAAGAAGCCTAATTAATTTCTAAAACCCGCTCAGACACTGCAGTGCAGTAGCTGAGAGCATTAGAATAGCTACTGTATCACAAAGTATCCGGCTGGTGAGAGTCTTGCGTTCCTACTTCTCAGACCTGGTGGGGTCGGCTCCTGGGGTCCCTCTCCTTGCAGGTGTTGGAAGCGAGCATGGTGTCAGACAAACAAGAACAGGGCTTTGTCTCATTGATTTGAAATTTGCACCCCGTATTCAAACGTAAATACTCAGAATGAAGGAGCAAGCCGGTGAACTACACCTGTGCAGGACTCCTGCTTCCGTTGCCACCGGGCTCCCTCTGGCGCCACCGCCAGTCTGCCCGGAGGACACACGGTAGCCACGCTCTGTGATCGGGACGTTTGTCAGTGACTGCTCTCTCAGAAAGCAGGCTGAGGCCATGCTTGTTCATTTGTCACTCTCCATCATGTCCCTCGGACCTAGTTCCTGGCTCAGTTTCCCATCCAGACACCATCTAAGGGACCTTATACAAGCACATGCTCTGTGCCTCACAGATGTGAAATCGCAATGGAATTTCTAACTGTGAAGATGATTTTGTTTCTGTTTGCTGAAAGGCAAGGCCAGGGCGTGGGTTTTATTCACTTAAAGCCTCAACGTCGTATTTGATTAAGCAGGACCGGAAGTGTCACAGTTGACCGTGAGAGCATGATAGTCATTTTCTTCTACCCGTGGGTGTATTTTACAAATCATTTCTTTTCTTTTTCCTTTTTTTAAAATTTCTTTTTTTAAATTTTTTTCTTTAAATTTTTTATTGTTATGTTAATCACCATACATCACATCATTAGTTTTTGATGTAATGTTCCATGATTCATTGTTTGTGCATAACACCCAGTGCTCCATGCAGAATGTGCCCTCTTTAATACCCATCACCAGGCTAACCCATCCCCCCACCCCCTCCCCTCTAGAACCCTGTTTGTTTTTCAGAGTCCATCGTCTCTCATGGTTCGTCTCCCCTCCTATTCACCCCCCTTCATTTTTCCCTTTCTACTATTTTTTTTTAACATATAATGCATTATTTGTTTTAGAGGTACAGGTCTGTGATACAGGTACAGTCTTGCACAATTCACAGCGCTCACCATGGCACATACCCGACCCAATGTCTATCACCCAGCCACCCCATCCCTCACACCCCCCATCACTCCAGCAACCCTCAGTTTGTTTCCTGGGATGGATTCCTCATATCAGTGAGGTCATATGATACATGTCTTTCTCTGATTGACTTATTTCCTTCAGCATAACACCCTCCAGTTCCATCCATGTCATTGCAAATGGCAAGATCTCATTCCTTTTGATGGCTGCATAATATTCCATTGTGTATATATACCACCTCTTCTTTATCCATTCATCTGTCGATGGACATCTTGGCTCTTTCCACAGTTTGGCTATTGTGGACATTGCTGCTATAAACATCGGGGTGCACGTACCCCTTCGGATCCCTACATTTGTATCTTTGGCGTAAATACCCAGTAGTGCAATTGCTGGATCGTATGGTAGCTCTATTCTCAACCCTTTGAGGAACCTCCATACTGTTTTCCAGAGTAGTTGCACCAGCTTGCATTCCCACCAACAGTGTAGGAGGGTTCCCCTTTCTCCACATCCCCGCCAATATCTGTCGTTTCCTGACTTGTTAATTTTAGCCATTCTGACTGGTGTGAGGTGGTATCTCATTGAGGTTTTGATATGGATTTCCCTGATGCCAAGTGAGGTGGAGCACTTTTTCATGTGTCTGTTGGCCATTTGGATGTCTTCTTTGGAAAAATGTCTGTTCATGTCTTCTGCCCATTTCTTGATTGGATTATTTGTTCTTTGGGTGTTGAGTTTGATAAGTTCTTTATAGATTCTGGATACTAGCCCTTGATCTGATATGTCATTTGCAAATATTTTCTCCCATTCTGCTGGTTGTCTTTTGGTTTTGTGGACTGTTTCTTTTGCTGTGCAAAACCTTTTTATCTTGATGAAATCCCAAGAGTTCATTTTTGCCCTGGCTTCCCGTGCCTTTGGCGATGTTTCTAGGAAGAAGTTGCTGCGGCTGAGGTCGAAGAGGTTGCTACCTGTGTTCTCCTTTAGGATTTGGATGGACTCCTGTCTCACGTTTAGGTCTTTCAACCATTTGGAGTCTGTTTTTGTGTGTGGTGTTAAGGAAATGGTCCAGTTTCATTCTTTTGCATGTGGCTGTCCAATTTTCCCAACACCATTTGTTGAAGAGACTGTCTTTTTTCCATTGGACATTCTTTCCTGCTTTGTCAAAGATGAGTTGACCATAGAGTTGAGGGTCCATTTCTGGGCTCTCTATTCTGTTCCATTGATCTGTGTGTCTGTTTTTGTGACAGTACCATACTGTCTTGATGATGACAGCTTTGTAATAGAGCTGGAAGTCCGGAATTGTGATGCCGCCAGCTTTGCTTTTCTTTTTCAACATTCCTCTGGGTATTCGGGGTCTCTTCTGGTTCCATACAAATTTTAAGATTATTTGTTCCATTTCTTTGAAAAATGTGGATGCTATTTTGATGGGGATTGCATTGAATGTGTAGATTGCTCTAGGTAGCATTGAGATCTTCACAATGTTTGTTCTTCCAATCCATAAGCATGGAACATTTTTCAATTTCTTTGTGTCTACCTCTATTTCTTTCATGACTATTTTATAGTTTTCTGAGTACAGATCCTTTGCCTCTTTGGTTAAATATATTCCTAGGTATCTAATGGTTTTGGGTGCAATTGTAAATGGGATCGACTCCTTAATTTGTCTCTCTTCTGTCTTGTTGTTGGTGTATAGGAATGCCACTGATTTCTGTGCATTGATTTTATATCCTGCCACTTGACTGAATTCCTGTATGAGTTCTAGCAGTTTTGGGGTGGAGTCTTTTGGGTTTTCCACATAAAGTATCCTATCATCTGCAAAGAATGAGAGTTTGACTTCCTCTTTGCTGATTTGGATGCCTTTGATTTCTTTTTTTGTCTGATTGCTGTGGCTAGGACTTCTAATACTATGTTGAATAGCAGTGGTGAGAATGGACATCCCTGCCACGTTCCTGACCTCAGGGGGAAAACTCTCATCTTTTCCCCATTGAGAATGATATCGGCTGTAGGTTTTTCATAGATGGCTTTATGATATTGAGGTATGTGCCCTCTATCCCTATACTCTGAAGAGTTTTGATCAAGAAAGGATGCTGTACTTTGTCAAATGCTTTTTCTGCATCTATTGAGAGGATCATATGATTCCTGTTCTTTCTTTTGTTAATGTATTGTATCACGTTGATTGATTTGTGGATGTTGAAACAGCCTTGCAGCCCAGGGATAAATCCCACTTCATCATGGTAAATAATCCTTTTAATGTACTGTTGGATCCTATTGGCTACTATTTTGGTGAGAATTTTTGCATCCATGTTCATCAAGGATATTGGTTTGTAATTCTCCTTTTTGATTGGGTCTTTGTCTGATTTTGGGATCAAGGTAATGCTGGCCTCATAAAATGAGTT